CCCGCTCGTGACTTTTCCACCCTCCTCTTTATTAATATTCGCCATATCCAAAACACCCCACTTCATGTTCTTTCTTTAGAAAATTTTATTTTAATCTTTAGCAAAGATGATTTTTAGATTAAAATCATAAGTAAAATTAAAATCTAATTTTAATCCTTGATACATTAATAATTTTATTTATTAATTATATTTTAATTTTTTCTCTTTTTTCTTCATAAATTTTAATGTATTAATTTTATTTCATTATAATTTTCATTTTCATTTCATTTATCGTAATATATTTTGTTGTAAACATTTAGATAAACTAAATTTTTGTTATACAATATATTTCAACATACCGACGTACTTTGTCTTCTTCATTTAGGTACATTAAATTTATTACAATACATTTCGGTGCATACATTTAGGTACACATACTTCGGTACATACATTTCGGTACAAACATTTAGGTACATTAATTTAATATAATACATTTCGGTACACACATTTAGGTATATTAATTTAATATAATACATTTCAGTGTATATATTTCGGTATATACATTTCGATACTTACATTTAAATACATTAGTTGAACATAATACATTTCGGTACACATATTTCGGTACATTAGTCTTTCAAATTTGAAGAATGTTAAATAAAATTAATAAATTAAAAAACTTTTTTTTTTGTCAAAAAATAAATTAAAATTTGTATATTAATAAATTTAAATATTTAATAAGGAGACATTAAATAAAAAGCACATTAATTATTTTGAATTAAGGACACATCAAAAAATTATAATCAATATATAATATAACACTAGGTTTATTTTAAATTTCAATATTCAAGATTAAAGTTAAAAAACCCTTTCTTTCTTTCTTTCCATTTTTTCTCCCAGACAAAACATCAAACACCTTCCATGTCTTCCAACCATGGGCCGCCTGGAGCCCCAACAGTTCGACCTCGCCTCGCCATAGACCTACAAGGGATACGTGTAACAACCCGTTTCAAATTTTACGTTTTTATTTTATTTTAAAAGTGTGAATTTACGAAATTGCCCTAGAGGCAAGGACTTTGACTTCTGTTGACCATCGACTTAAGAGATGTGGGACTTATTCTTTTAGCATATCCTTGTAGTACTCATTGGTACGAACGTATAGGCGAAAACCGTTTGCGAGTCCGGATTATAACGGTATACTTATGGACGTTTGAAATTGGTTATTTAAATATTTGAATTCCCACCTTGTGGGATTAGTGGACCAATTAAATTAAAGGGACAAGGAACCAATTAGAAGAGAGAAGTGAAGCTTGCAGCCAATGAAAAAGAAAGAAGAAAAGAAAAGAAGAAGAAGAAGAAGAAGAAGAAGAAAAAAAAAAAAAAAAAAAAAAAAAAAAAGGGGGGAAAAGCTTCCCGTGCACCCATACCCGCATCACCGCGAGTCCATCTTCCAAGGCTGATTCCGGCCAACTCCGGTGGATTTTTTCGATGCCACCACCACCATCTTGAAGCTCTCATTCCCCTCTACAAAACCCACCCAAGAACCACCTTGATTAACCATGGTATGAGGCGGTTTGAGGCCACGAAAGTTGACGAAAATCAAGGGTGCTCTGGCCACCCTTTTCGATTTTCCGGCAAATCGGCAAAGCGATGGCCGATGCCACCACTTGGGCTTTGTAGCCCATCATCCCAGGAGCAAAACCCAACCAACCTTGACCCCGTTGGACCACCGTGGACGACGAATCGACGTCGGGAAGTTTTAGGCACCCGCCGGCTTTGTGGGAAAATTTGACCATCTTCCGTCCACTTTTGGACTTCGTGGCAGGTATAAAAGTTGCTCCACTCACTGAGATATTCATTTCTGTGAAGTTTGAGAATTTTTGGAAATAGTTGGATTTTCCGGCGAGTCGGGGCGGCCGACCACCACCCGCGGCGGCGCGTGCGGCGGCGCGTGGCCAGTGGGCCGTCAATGCTATTTTTAGGCTATGTCAAATTTCTTGAATTCAATTTTGTCATTTGAATGACGTAGGTTGATAGTTGGAACCTAAATTCGTTACGATACGTTACTTGATAAAAATGTGAATCGATGATCCGACCGTTGGATCGTCACAAAAATTGGATACATTATAATACGTAATATTTAAAGATCATAGGAATTTACAGATCGGGAATCTGACTTACGGATCATCCTTAATTGGATTTGTAAGTTAGTAAAATAAATGTTCACGGCCACTTGTTTTAGGCAATTGGCGGAGATCTGACCGTTGGATCGTAATGAAATTTTAATATGTTATTCTAGAAACATATTGTGGATCGTTGGGAGTTACAGATTGGAAATTTGATATGCGGATCTTCCTGGTCAAGTTATACAGGGTTGTAAACCCTACCGTCGATCTTTGATCGACGGTTGACTTGTGGTCAATGAGTATCAAACTATTTTAGAATGTCGTTGAGGTTGTGTTTTATGTGAATTACGTATTCTACGGATAAGAGTTCTGAGATGTGATTTGATAATTGGCCACAGGGACCGATCATTCAGGACTCCTCGATGCGTGCGCTAGAGAAGTATAGCGTGGACTCCAGGTGAGTGGATCTTTTCCTTTTTATTGTGCATATTATTGAGAGTTCTATCAACACTTTTAAATTGATTAGGTATGTTACCTTCATATAATTATTGTGAATGCTTGAAGTACCTATATGAACTACGAATGGCTTGATCCCTATTAAGGGTACGTAGGCAGTCTAACGAGACGTTAGATGCAGCCATAAAATATTTGAGACAAAAGCCTTGCTTGGGAAATTGAGTAATGCGAAGGAAATTGGTAAAGACAAGTTTTAGTTTTGTGAATTAGTTAGTTAAATTAGAGTTAATTGGGTTGTCATGGAGAATTATCCCTGAAAATAAGTAGTTTGGGAGTAGGGCGTTATTGATTGTACACTTCTCACTGTATTGTTTATAATTGAACATGCTACGACATGGTTGAGTATTAGATTGCATCATGGTATATCCATATGTATATTACTTGCATATAATTATTGGGAATGCTTTCAAGTGCAAAGGTGAACTTAGGACACCCAGGTAAGTTCAGGTGAGTTTATGGTACTAGTTGAATCGATTGCGTTATAGCATGACTACAGTTATGTGTTAGGAAACTTCGATATTGTCGTACTGGTTGCCATGAGTTCCACATGTTATATTGAGACGCATTGAGAGCTCATAAACCTGCACCCCGGTGTTAGTGCTCCCGCCCGTGGCCAGGGCACAGTCCTTCACGTGATGTTCACCTCCCGCACCTTACGCTCACCTTGGATTCAAGGTAGGTGCACAGTCTTGTCGTACAGACCACTTTAGGTGGTTCCGACTCGTAGGTGACCCACGATTATTTGCCCAGTCTTCACGTGATCGTAGCACTTGAGCGTATTTATTTACACCCAGTCCTGTCGTACAGACCACTTTAGGTGGTTCCGACTCGTGTGCAGGTATACTTATTGAGCTATTGGCTAGCCATGATTGATGAGATGTGGATAAGTCGTACAGGTCACTATAGGTGACTCCGACTTATATGCTAGCCATGATTGTTGAGATATGGATAAGTCGTACAGGTCACTATAGGTGACTCCGACTTATATGCTAGCCAGGATTGACGAGATATGGATAAGTCGTACAGGTCATTATAGGTGACTCCGACTTATATGCTAGCCATGATTGATGAGATATGGATAAGTCGTACAGGTCACTATAGGTGACTCAGACTTATATGCTAGCCATGATTGATAAGATACGGTTAAGTTGTACAAGTCATTTTAGATGACTCTGACTGATATATCACTTTGTATTGATTTAGTTCATTTGGCCTACTTATTAATGTATGGTGGATTTGATGGCAAACCGTGGTTTTGGTCATTTCTGAGTATGGTTTGGATATATGTATATATGTTGTACTGTCTTATGGAAAACGATACGGGTTTTACATTTAGGGGCATTACTTTTAGAGAGGTAATAACTTTGGGAAGCTTGGTTTTATTGCTTACTCACACCTTCTGTTTGGTGCCCTCCAGGTTTTAGCTGCTGAGTTTGTATCGACAAGAATCTGTGGCGAATCTTAGTATTGATGGATAATTCTAAGGGTATGATTCTTACCCACACTATTGTACCTTACTTATGCTCTGACATCGCGTGTGAAATGGGTTCGCTCCCACTAGTAGCGCACTCTGGTACTTAGACACTTTTAGATTCAAATTTATTCACTTTTTATACACTATCACATTTTATGGCTTCGTCACCTTCCAGGTGTCGGCCAGCACAGCTCGATTTAGGGTCCAAGTGGACTTTCTGGGTCGGGGTGTGTCAATACGCCATCAACAGCAAGATCATGCTCAACGCCATCACCATCCTTAGGGGTGGTTCGGTATGGGATCCCATACCGAAACCCTTGTCCCGATTCCCAAACCGAAATTTTTGGGAATACCAATCCCAAACCAAATTTTCGGGAATCCCGAAATAATTTCGGGACAAATCGGGAATCCCGAAATGTTTTTGGGCTTTTGGACTAACGACTAGACAAACCCTGCGGACTGCCCAATCAGTTCAATATGCAGTATGACTAGACAAACCCTGCCTTTCGGACAATTTCTTCTCTCCCTCACCTCACCACGAAAAGCTAATGACATCGATCTCCTTTACGACGTGTGAAGGGATGGCTAATATTCATAACTCAGGTACCAATTTGATGCACACAAGAGCAATAAGAAGATGTAAAGATTTAATTTTTCTGTGGAGAATAGAAATGATTGGTACAAATTTTACGTCTAACATTTTCAGCTGGACAAAACAGAGTATGTGAAAATTTGAGAAACGAAAAGGTTTGGACTTCGGATTCGAAACTTACCGTTGAAGCTCAACCGTGAACTTTCGAGTTTCTGGAGATTAATACAAAGCGTCTCCTCGTCAATGGTTCAAAAATCTGAGCATTCAACATAGAAAATATATGGTTGTGAGAAAAATAACTCAAAATATATAACAGAAATCAAAATAAATCTGCCTATTCAATACTTTCATGGCATCTGCCCAATCTGCCAATTTGACATAGTTTCATACTTTGCTATCACACATTAAGGCAAGAACTTTTCCCAATCAGTTCAATATGCAGTATGATCAGATAAAGCTGAATCATATCTATGGATTAACGAGAGGAAGTATCTACCCAGAAGAATCAGCTTCAGATGTATCTCAATTCACTGCAAATGCAAAAGATGTACCAGCAGAATCCAGATTTTTCGAAGCAGCAGGGTTTTCGAAAACCATGCATGCAGACATGAACATGCACTCAGAAGATCAGGCACTTAAACTTTGCTGCTTTTGCATATAGATTGATTTGAAAATAATTTGTGTTTGCTTTTCCTTATAAAAGAACATTTTTTGCATCTAAAACTTGTATTTGTTTTTCATTTTTTAGATCTTTTTTGTGGCGTTTGATGAGTAAAAGCTTTTAGGTTGATTATTAATGTGTGCATACCTATTGCAGTTGACTGAGAGTTGCAAAGTGGTTCCTTCAAGTACTTGCCTCTACCGTCTTGTTGCCATTGTGGAGCACTTTGGAAGAGCTGGAAGTGGGCACTACACCGTTTACAGAAGCATGAGAGCTGATTTATGTGAAGAACCTTGTGACGAGTCTGAGGTCGACGCTGCTGCTTGGTGCTGGTATTCTATTTCAGATTCAGAAATGTATAAGTTATTAACACACACACAAAAAAAATTGCCAACGGCATAAATTAATTACCTAATTTGGGTGAGAGTGAGACTCAGACTCAGTGCTAGATTGAGAGTTCTGTCTGTGAGGGAAAATTGCCCGAGAGAGAGAGAGATCGCAACTCGCAAGTGTCGCCGTGTCGGAGACGATTCGTGAAGGAATCGTGAAGAAAGGCTGGAGAGTTCTGTCCAGCGATTCGTGTCGGAGACGATTCGTGAAGGAATCGTGTCGGAGACGATTCGTGAAGGATGCTTTGGCGTGGCGCCGGTGGTTGGGTGTTGATTTGTGAAGTTGGGTGGTGGTGATTCACTGATTCTGGTGAAGGAAAGCTGGTGGCTCATGGCTGCATTTCAACTTCAAGCTACGGAAGTGAAAATTGAAATGGGATCTAACCTAAAAACAAATGAACGGCACAGATTAAATCTAAAATAATGAACGGTTGAAATAATTCTCTTATAATTAAAAAATAATATATATATAATATTTATTTCTATTCGGTATGGGAATACCGAAAAAATGGAGATGTAATACCGAATCCCATACCGAAAATTTCGGTTTGGTTCGGGATGACATACCGAAATTTTCGGGAATTTTGGTTTGGGATCGGGATTTTTTCGGTTTGGTTTGGGATTTTTGGGATTTTTTTCCAGCCCTAACCATCCTCTTCTTCGTTGTCATCCTCATGGCCTGCCTCCACCTTTACGCCCGTTAGTACCTTCTTCGTGCCCGTCACCACCATTTCAAGCATTTGTTTATTCCAAATTCAGGCTTGGTTTTGTTATTCCAGCTTTGGCGTAAACAGGTTGGCAACGCGTTTCGCAAGTAGACCAAAAATGACCCGTTATTTAACGGGAGGTGAACGCGTACACTCGTTTATAATCCAACCCGTTAAGCATGCTCTTTAATGTTAATTTTAACGGGTGAGTCGGGTCGGGTTAACGGGTTGGGTTCAAAATGCCAAGTCTGCTTGTAAGTGAGAGGTCTTAGGTTCGATTCTCGAATTTAAAACACATTATTACTAAACCATTGTGAGATTAAGCTCACTCTGCTCTCTTTTAGTGTACATAATATCATTTGTTAAAAAAAAAATATATATATTCTAACAACTTACTGCTTCTCTTGTGAATTTTGTGAAGTCAAATGGTGGGCTGCGAAATGAGTGAGGAAAGGGAGGACACTCGGTAAATCCATTCCACCAATGTCGGCACCCATTGCCAGAGTCCGCTTTTCACGCTCAATTACAAAAGCTTCAGTAAATTAAAGTTTTATTTTGAGTGTTATTTTTTAAATGGGTGTAAAGATAAATTTACATAATAAATTGAGTTTGTGAGAGTAGTTTAGGTAGTAAATTAGGGTCTAAAGAGATATTGATATTTTATTAAAAAATAAGACAAGTTAGAGAGTAAGTTGAGTGTAGAGTGAGGTTGACCGTCTAGGGTTTATAATATATATAGCTACAAATGTCTTATTATATGAGGATTTTTTTTTAAAGAAACGATATAATCTACACTAAGAGGTGGGGGAGTGGGCTAAGCCTGACAATTGGCTCTTTTGACGAGAATCGAATCTAATATCTCTCACTTATAAGCAAAGAGGAATACCACTAGACCGTAATACTAAGTGACTATTCTATGAGGATTATAATTTTTTTTAATAGACGATATAAATTTTAGGTTCTAACTTACCCCAACTTGCTCCAACCCTTGAGGCAATATAAGTTTTAATCCAAAACTCATTGCAAATTTAGGCCAAGATTCCCCTGGGTTAGTGCGATGATCCACCATATAAGTATATTTTTTTAGACTTAAATGTTAAAATGGTCCATGTGTTTTAGTCATTGGGTCAATTTTGTCCCCGTGTTCTTAGTTTGGTCAATTTGATCATTGTGTTTATCTCTGTTAGCCAATTAAGAACATTTTCATCTAATTTCTGTAAAAAAAAAAAAATTGTTATAAACTTATTTATTTGATTTAAACTATTTAAAAATGAAATACAATAAAAATTAAAAGAAAGATTATTCTCCTCCCAACTCCCCGACCCCCTCCATAACATTACCCCCTCTCTTTACTATGTCACAACCCTAATCATTTTTCTGATTGAAAGTTTTATCTCTTATATGTGTTATTTTTCATTGATTTGCATTTTTCTGTAAAGACAAATGGTGATTATATTTCATATAATTTTTCTTGTGAATTTTTTAAAAGATATTGAATGAAATGTCCTTGATTGGTTAACAGAGACAAATTCAAGGACTAAATTAACCAAATCGAAAATACGAGGACTAAATTGGCCATATGACTATAACACATGGACCATTTTGACATTTAAGCCTTTTTTTTAAAATTTTATATTTATAAATTCATCGAATCCAACAACTAAGATCTAATTTGATCAAATCAAACAATAAAAAATAAAATAAAATTTAACAGTCCAAATTTAAATCCAACGAATAAAGTAATTAAAAAAATATATGTTATGTGTTTCATATTTTTTTATAGTTTTCCACAAGTTTATGGTGTCGGTTTATTGATTTTCAATATTTATCAAAATCTATATATTTTTATATTAAAATGTTCATAAAATTAAATTAGGATAGTATACATAATTTTTTTAGGGAATTGTTATTGGTACTCCAAATTCCTCATTCTACACTCCAAATTTTCTATATTTAGAAAGAAAAATACACTTGTCAATAACACTTCCCTTTTTTTAAGAGAAAAATTATCCTAGATTCATTATTTAATAATCTCGGACTAAAAAGCTAGAAGAGTTGGAGGAGAAAAACTGTTTTTGGCGAGAATTGAACATAAGATCTCTCACTTACAAATAAAAAAAATTATTAAATCGTAGTACTAAGTAGCTAACGAAGAATATAATTACAAAAATACAGAAACTAAAAATAAGAGGGGTACATACCCTAATCATATCAAAATAAGACTCTTAAAATATTTACAAATTAAGATTAAAATCAACGCTTGTCAGCATCAACAAAAACATCCCTTTTCTTTCTAGACAAGGATTGTCTGCCCTACCATTTCCCGTGCCCTCCTGTTTGTGTGGTCACGGTTAAGTCACGTCAACATTTTATATTACCATTCATTTTTGTCTTATTATTTCTATAAAAAAAAAACAATATAAAATGTTGACGTGGTTTAACCGTGACCACACAAAACAGAAATGTACGGGAGGGCACCGGAAGTAGAAGGACAGACAATCGTTGTCCTTTCTTTATCCTCTTTTAAGGCACCGAAAGCAGAGGAATAGAGGAATATTGTTACTTTTCACCACATGGGTTTGCAACCTTTTCTTTTTGGGGTGTGATATCTATACACCCTTTTTTACTTCTCTCACATTTTTTTAGTTTTCGGCCGTCGGATCGGATGAATTGAAGAAGATCAACGGACATAAATTAACAAGGATGTGTGAGAAGTAAAAATGAGTGTGTGGATAGCACACCCCTTTCTTTCTGCCTCTCCTTTTCCAAATGTTCTCCGACTCTCCCTTTTATTTAATTTTAATGGGAACCAGAAAGGGCATCCAATGGCTTATCTAAATTACATATATTAATAAAATCTTATTTGTCAATTAAAAGAAAATAAAAAAATAATTTAATTTTTTATTATAAAATAAAATATTAGACAATTAAGTAAATTCATACAAACTATTATTTTTTTTATTTTTAAAACCTCACCCAGATCTTAACATCCTTTAATTTGAAAAATAAAAAATAAAAAAAAACAAACATTTCTCTCCCATTCCACATTCCTCTTTTTTCTCCCTCACTCCTTCCCATTTTAGAAATAAATAAATAAATATTATTACACGCAAAGTGTGGGGCATTATGCTAGTGTATTTCGTGCCAATTAGTCCTAAAGCCACACAAGTGATGTGGCTTTCACATGCTGCAAACAAAACCAACCAACAGATGGGCCTCACATAAAAAACAAACACCCCACACGGAATAAAGCCGCCACTACTTTAGAGCAAAAGATGCACCTTTGTGATCGTATACCGTATGATCAACTTTCGTGAAATACTATTTACATTTAATTTTAAAAAAAATTAAAATAATTTTTAACCGTATGATGTATTATGAATGGATAGGATGTGAAGATCCGGATGAGATCTAGATCCAGTTAAGCAAATGGTCACCAATAATTACGTAACATCCAATTTGCGTAGCAACAGTTTGTTTTACAATACTTCATGCTTTAATACGATAGTCTACATATTTTTTTTTTTTTAAATTTAATTTAACAAAAAAAAAGCCTAAGTTCATGCTTTAATAATCCCGGGTTAAAATTTTAGGCTAGAACGGTTGGAGAAGAAAAGTTGTTTTTAGGCTAAAAGCTAAATTTTCCGGACTAAAATATTTGGCTTTTAGCCCAATCATTAAAGATGACCTTAGAGATGGATCCAAGATTTATAAACTGAGTGGACTAACTTTTAGTGAATTTCCATAAGTTAAAATATATATATATATTTTGGGATTGAATATATATATATTCAATCGCAAAATATTTGTTTCTACATCATCATTTACATCCCAATATGGCTGTTTTTCTTCAAATTGCATTCCTTGTATTTAGTTTATCTCGTTTGTTATTATATTCGGCGGACAACAATTTTTGCATATGCTTTTTCGCGGCATATAATTGTGAGCATATATTTTGAATGAACTGTTGGATGAGTAATTGCCGCGCATATGTCGACCACTTGGTGAGCAGTGGTATTAAAAAAAAAAAAACAACCAAGACTCAAGTCTCCAACGACTTTTGCCTCCGTCTCCAGAGCGACCAGAGCACGAAGTTGCCATTCTCCTCTCCGCCAGCTAAAGCAAAACCTTTACTCTTTCTTTCGTCCGCAAATTGCTATGGCGGGCACTCTTACTATACTCTCTATGGTATTTTCGAGCGGCATCACATCCGCAATTTTGCAGGTGGTTGTTTGCAAACTTGCAGATCTCGCTTTCGAGAAGATAGGCCGGAGTGATGAGGTCTCCGGCAAGCTCCAGCAGCTCGCGCGAAGGCTGCAGAAAATCGACTCTCTTGTCGAAGACTTGGAGAACAAGCAAACCAACTCCAACGCCTGCGAGGAGCTGATTGAAGATTTCAAGAATGCCCTTTTGGATGCTGAAGATCTGCTGGATAGGATCGATCTCGAAAAGCCGAATTTCAGGGACATCGATCCGTCGCGTTTGAAGTCGGATGACAAGCGTGAGCTCAGTCGGCTGCTGAAAAGAGTTGACGGTTTAGTGAAAGAGATGGAGGGTTTCTTCTTGTCGGAAATTAACAGGCAGCGCAGACCTCCTCAAAGTTTGGATGTTAATCCTCGTACTAGTTCGTTGGTTGACGAGCTGTCTGTGTTCGGAAGGGGTAACGAGAAGCAGGAGATGGTTGAGATGCTGCTGGCGGAGCGGAGGGAGGATGTTTCTGTGATTCCGATTGTGGGTATGGGCGGGACCGGAAAAACAACACTTGCTCAACTTGTGTACAACAATGAAGCTGTCGTTCGAGAGTTTGAGTTGAGGATGTGGGTGTGTTTTTCTTCTCTAGACACTGATTTGGTTACCGTCACTAAATCAATTTATGAGTCTGCTACCAAAGAGGTTTTGGAGTTGTCGAATTTGGATGCTGTTCAGGTCGCACTACAGGAGAAAATGCGGATGAAGAAGTTTTTGCTTGTACTCGATGGAATGTGGAACGAGAATTCGGCTTTCTGGGAAGTCTTGAAATTGCCCTTTAAATTTGCGGCGCCAGGGAGCAACATTGTGGTAACTACTCGAAGCAAAATTGTTTCATCGATTGTAAGCACTGGTCGGCATTATCATTTGCACACTTTCTCTGGTGGCTCTGGTCATGAAGCTTGTTGGGAAATAATCAAACAGAGCTTGGGTGGAAATCTTGATGGATATGAAGATTTGCAGAATGTTGGGTTGGAGATAGCAAAGAAGTGTAAAGGTCTCCCGCTGGCAGCCAAAGCAATCGGACGTGCCTTGCGGCTCAAGCTAGAAAAAGAGTGGGATCACATTCTAAATTGTGAGCTTTGGGACTTTCCAGAAGATTATATGAGGCAAATCTATCCTGTACTTAAAGTGAGCTATGATCACTTGCCGGCTTATTTGAAAAGATGTTTTGCTTATTGTTCGATTTTCCCTCACAACTTTCAATTTGAAGAGGATGATTTGATCCAACTATGGGCAGCAGAAGGCTTCATCCAACCCCAAAAAACAAGAAGTGTCGAAGGCATTGGAAGAGAGTACTTTGATTTCTTGCTCTCGGGGTCTCTTTTCCAAGTTTCATCAAACGCTGCTGGTGGCCGAAAATATGAAATGCATGAATTCAATCATGATTTGGCGAGATTGGTTTCGACCAACTTATGCTTTCGTCTGGAGGATAGCATGTCAACCTTCTTGCCCACATCTAGAAATGTACGGCACTCGTCTCTGCTTTGTCAAGATATTAAACCATCTACACTGGAACAGTATCACAGGTACAAGAAGTTGAGGACATTTATATTGCTTCCTCGTGATCCAACCAGTCTTAGTGAAGTTCCTCATGATTTTTTTTCAAAGTTGCCATGCTTAAGGGTTTTGAATTTGAGTCGTAGTCAAATCACTGAGTTGCCTGAGTCCATTGGAAAATTGATGCACCTTCGATACCTCAATCTTAATGATACCCTTATCAGAAGATTGCCAAAGTCGTTAGCAGATATATGTCGGTTAGAGATACTCAAGCTCAAGAACTGTTCTAAACTCCATGAATTGCCTAAGAACTTAAAGAACTTGAGTAAGTTGCGACATCTTGACTTTGATAGACCCAATCAAATCAGTTCCTGGCCAAAAAATCTTGGGAAATTAACTCTTCTCGAAACCCTGCCTGAATTTAGAGTGGGAAAAGACAAAGGATGTAAAATTGAGGAGCTTAAGAACATGACGTGCCTTCGTGGATCACTTTCCATAAAAAATCTTGAGAATGTGGCAGATGTTGCAGAGGCTGAGGGTGCTATTCTACACAACAAGCAATATCTTGAAAGTTTGGGATTGCACTGGAACAATGGAACCAGAGATGCAACAGTTGAAGAAGCAGTTCTTGAGGGCCTTAAACCTCATGATAGGTTGAAAAGGTTACAAGTAGCAGGTTATTTGGGTTCAAACTTTCCAGATTGGATAGGCCAATCATCGTTCTGCAAGCTTGAAAGTATTCGTTTGGAGAAGTGCCAATTGTGTACAGTACTTCCTTCTCTTGGTCAGCTTCCAGTTCTTAAAGAACTTGTCATTGAAAAGATGGGTGCTTTAACAGACGTGGTTCGTCACTTTTGTGGGTTGGCAGGTTCTTTTCCATCCTTGGAGACACTAACATTTTGTGACATGCCGAAGTTGAGAATTTGGTCAGGAATCAATGAAACTGACATGCCTCGCCTTACAGAGCTTTGCATTGATTCTTGCCAAAATTTGGTCGCCCTACCTTCACTTCACCACCTAACTTCACTTGAAACTTTAGACATCAACGGGTGCCCTCAGCTTCTATCAATTCCAGGCGAAGGACTACCACGCTCACTCAAACATTTGAGCATTTCGGACAGTGACATATTAAAGGAGCGGTGCAAGGGAAGAGATGGTGCCGATTGGAACAAGATCAGATGGATCCCTGAGATAGTGATTGATGGTGATGAAATTCCAATGGACGGGCGTGGAAACTGAATCTTGCTGCATCTCCACAACCCACGGAGCTGTTCTGAGCTTGACAATAAGGTACTTGACGCTATGTTTGAACTAAGATGATTGGTTATTTGATCTTCTCAACTTTTGCTGTTTGTGCTTCTTCATCTTCTTCTTAGTCTGCATATTTGTGTGACTGAATGCTAAGCTTCTGCTATTTGTGTGGTGTGACTGAATGCTTAGTATGCATATTTGTGTGACTGAATGCTAAGCTTTTGCTATTTGTGTTGGATATGTTACCGGAGCAAAAAACTTATTTTACACGTGCAGGATAAACTAATTGATTGCCTCTGCATTCATATTTTGTGCAGGTGGAACACGGAGCCCTCTGTTTAGATTGATCAAACGAGTTGAAGTATCCATCTGCGACCTCCTTGCAGATGAACTCCTCTCTGACCCTTGATAACTTGTGTTCTGACAAAGCTTGGCTGCTGCACAATTAGCAGCAGCTCCTGCTAAAAAAACCAATGTTATATATATATATATATATTTAAAGCGCCATTTTGTTGAAAAAAAAAACATGTATTGTTGATAGGCAGCAAGTGGTGGATTCTCATGGTAGATAGAATATTGCTCTTTGTTTGACTTTGCCTTGAGTTAAACCTTCCCCTCTTTTTAGCATAGCTTAGATAGTAATATCATTTGCAACAAAAAAAAGTGTTGATAAAAGTCATTTATACACCCCTAAAGAAGGAGAATATGAACTATAATGAATAGGGAGAACATATTTGCTCTAACCAATGTGGCTACTTGTACTTGCATCTGCTACTTGCAAGTTAAGCAAGGACAATACACTTAAATATACTATTAATTTTTTTTAACTAGAATTTTTAGAGGGACTTATTGTAGTAAATAATAAAGAGAAAAAGTAGATAGTAGGGGAGTGAAAGTGGGATATAAATTTAAAATGAAATTATTAAAATACCCATGACTTTTGAAACAAATACTAAGACCTTTTAGCATGTCAAGGCTATAAGGATATGAAAACAAGCAGGCAATCTACTACCAACATATATTAGAGTGCCTGCTTATATGAAAACAAGTGCACGCGCACGCACGTGCATGTAGAAAAATTGGAGAAAACTAAAATTTGAAGACATGAAAAACATCATACGTGCGTGCGTGCCTGCACGCTTTTGCATATGCATGCGTATAATGACTATGGATAGAAAAACTATTAGACGATCGCAACCCAAATGGATACAACCCATTCTATAATGGCCCAACATCAAATGCTTGAATGTTGCTTGAATGATGATGTTTTTAAAATTGTTTGGCATTGTGTTATTTTTGCCTTCCATCTTAATTGTTTGACACTGTATTGAATGTTTTTATTATTTACAATACTTAGAGGGGTGTTGCTTGTGTTACAGCCCGTCCCGAATTTTTCGTACCGTAGGGGTAAAATGACAGTTTTGCCCTTAGAGTGTTTGTTTCGTTGTGTCGTCGTTTTGGGGTTTTGGTTGGCTGATTTTGGACCACACACACACACCCACACTCATTCCTATTCTCTGCCTTGTCCCGTATCTGTCTCTCTCTCCCTTTCCTTTCTTTCTTGTACGGACAAGGTCAAACCCTTCGAAAAGTGGTAGATCGAGGAAGAAAACTATAGATTTGTGCTCGTGAGGTTCTTAGGAGTTCAACCATACCCATTTTAGGTAAGGATACCTTCGTTTTCACGTCGAACTCGAGATGATCAAATCGGAGTACGGTTCATGCACACGTAAATTCATGTGTTTTTGAGAGTTTCAGGCTTATAGGAAGCTTGGTGAGGTCCTTAGGTAGTTCGGGGTGGTTCCTTTAAAGGTTTTGGACGTCGGGATCGTGAGTTGCAAGTTTGGCTGGATTTGGTGGAGTTTTTCCGGCGAGATTCCGTTGGTTTTAGTGCTTGAAAGTGGTAAGGTTTTGTTCCTCTAGTTGTAAGCTTCATTTTAGTACCAATTTTGTGAAATTTAGGTGAAAAACGAGTGAGAAATGAAGTTTGGAAAATTTCCCGGTGTTCCGGCCACAGCGCCGGAGGTTGGCCGGAGAAGACGACAAAATATTCCGTCAGTTTGGACGGAATATTCCTAACGGTGTTAGGTTAACTTTAACAGAATCTGTCAAATCTAACAGAATATTCCTAACGGCGTTAACTGACGTCGTCAGTGTGCCAGGCACGTGTGGCCGTGCCTTGGCCGGCGCGTAAGGAGGCATGCGGCGTCGAAAAATTATTTTAAAAATATAGGGATGTTCGTGAGGTTGAGTGGATCACGTTGGTGTATTCATACACCCCATTTGAGCATTGTATGAGAAGTTATTCCCTAGTTTGGGTTATGTGCTTTAAATTAACGTTTTTATAGTTGTTTCGTATATAGGTGAGACCTATCCCGAGGACGAGCGCAGTCACTCGAGGCAAGGGGATTACGACCCTTCTACATACCAGTGAGTGGGCTTTTGGTTTTCCGTATATACCTATATACTTGTGATTTTCCCAGAAAATGAAATGAAACGTTTATATGTTTTAAATGCCATGCTTTGTGTTTGCCTAATTAATTGTGCATTAGTAGTTGCATATATATATGTTTGGTGCTGCGGACGCACATGTAAGTGCCAGGTAAGTTATGGTTTATGTTTGTGATTAGTAGTGATATGAGATGCATCGAGAGCTCATAACCTGCACCCCCGGTGTTAGTGCTCCCACCCAGAGTAGGGCACAGTCCTTCACATGATGTTCACCTCCCGCACCACATGCTCATCTTGGATCTAAGTTAGGTGCACAGTCCTGTCGTACAGACCACTTTAGGTAGTTCCGACTCGTAGGTGGCCCGCGATTATTTACCCAGTCTTCACGTGATCGTAGCACTTGAGCGTATTTATTTACACCCAGTCTTATCGTACAGACCACTTTAGGTGGTTCCGACTTGTGTGCATGTATAGTTAGTGAGTTGGGGATTTAAGCTCTAGATTCAGCCGTACAGGTCACGTTAGGTGACTCCGGCTGACAGATTATATGGCATTGATTGACATTACCTAAGTATTGCATTTTATTTAGACATTCGACATGGCATATTTCTGAGCATGTTTTATATATATATATATATATATATGTGTGTGTGTGTGTGTGTGTGTGTGTGTGTGTATTCTATTTTCTGGAAAATTATACAGGTTTTACGGCGAGGGGTTAGAACTTTTGTTATTGAAATGATTTTGAAAAGCTTTGTTTTTTCCCACTCACGCTTTCTGTTTTGCGCCCCTTCAGGTTCTAGTTTGGATAGCTCTTTTGGTGGCTCTCAAGAGATTTTCGGTATATCTAACAGATTGTCACCAGAGTAGGACCACCTCTGGGTGTGTTTATTTAGTGTTTGTTCCCCCGGACTGCACTAGGTCTTCCGTGCTCTGAATATTGTTTTCCACACTTACGCTTGCACTTGTATGTTATCTACTTAGTATATAGCTTGGTTTTTATTTATTCGTACTTTTATTATTATTATTCTTAGCTTCCGCAATGTGCACATGGTTATGTCACCTTCGCGTGACGGCCAGCACACATTGATCTCGGTCGAGGTGTGTCAATTTGGATTTCGGATGATTTTAAAGTTTTTTTTTTTTTTTAACTGGCAGATTTCAAAGAATTTTAATAAACTCTATAATCCTACATAGATTTTGATAGATTTGTATGAATTTTTATGTTCTTTTATGGATTTCTCATTTGAATTGAGGTATAACTTTGTGTTCATGTTGGTTTATTTCAACCGAGTTAGGGCTTAACTCGAATGATGCAGCCTTGGCCCTTGGTCCATTAATATTTAGTTCATTAGTGAGGAGAGGAGCTTGTTTTGTGAGATTAACCATTACTCATATGAAGTATTTTAATTTTGAGTCAAAATTACTTCAACATACACGTTTCCTAACAACGAATTTTCAATACGCGATTTAAAATTTTTCATTTGTTGGTCATGATTGATAGGAAAAATATGACAGTGCATAACCTTCCATTAGTTGGTCCACGAGCACAAGAGCATTGCAGCTTCAACCATCGGCACAACTACGCCATTTCACCATGATTTGGTCAGTTATAATTTTGCAAAAGCAAGGACCACTATGTTGAGATTGCTCCAGCGGAAACACCAGCAAGCTGCTGGTGTAAATCACAGAAAGCAAAATAATTTGCAAATTAAGGACTCCCAGTTTGCTGGTGTCGGATAACGATAGGATTTTGCATGGTAAAACCATTATAATTAGTCTTCCTCTTAGTTGTATGATCCTCTATGCTCCTGTTTTATCATGCACAAAGATCATCTTCTGAATTTACGTTCTTGGAAGTAATTTATCTGATCAAAACCTTGTCTGTGAACAAAAGACACTGCAATTTTTTGTGGAAAAAGAACCATCCGATGTGAAAGAATATGGAAGGTAGAATCAACGACAGCCATGGCCCATGGCTGCCATGCATAGCGTAGAAAGGAACAAGTAGGGCGTCGTGAAAGAGAGAAACCAACTTGTGAGAAAAGCTTGAATAGAAATCCAAGGGGTGGAGATGAGATCCTTTATAGCCTTTGTTATGCATAAAATTCACTCTCAAATCCTACAAAATCTCTTACTTAATGAAATCTTTCAAAATCTTGACATTTTGAATATCTACACATTTGTATACACTCTTTAGAGTATCTCCAACTAAGATGTCAAAATTGTCACATACACGTACAACAATAAAAATGGCAGCAAACTCTCTTCAACTAAGCCTTCAATTTCTTACATAGCGCTAAGTCAATTGAAGGCAAAGCCTTTTGTTGTCAAATTTAGCTGCATATGTCAAATTTATTAAATAAATTTTTAATAGATTAATATTATATATAATAAATATTGTTGTGATTTTCAAGTATTTGATTATTTGTCTCAATAATTAGACCCTACAAAAAGATTTAAAAAAAATATTAAATGACATTATTATTTAACATATCGGGTGGAACAAAATATTGTACAAAATGTCAAATTGTCATATAAGCCATCAAATATCATTTTAATGTTTAAAATTTGACACTTCACTTGGACATGCTCTTAAAATCCTAATTGACTGCTTGGATTTAGATGCATTCTTTTAAATCCTGTTAAATGTCACATCCCGGCCCGAGGCAGATCACATCCCGGCCCGGGGCGGATCACTTCCCGGGCCCGCTCCACCACCGTAGCACGATATTGTCCGCTTTGGGGCCCGACCACGCCCTATCGGTTTTGTTTCTGGGAACTCACACGAGAACTTCCCGATGGGTCACCCATCCTGGGAGTGCTCTCGCGCGCTACTCGCTTAACTTCGGAGTTCCCATGGAACCCGAAACCAGTGAGCTCCCAAAAGGCCTCGTGCTAGGTAGGGATGAGAATATACATATAAGGATCACTCCCCTGAACGATGTGGGATGTCATAATCCACCCCCCTTAGGGGCCTGACATCCTCGTCGGCACACCACGACCAGGCTTAGGCTCTGATACCAATCTGTCACATCCCGGCCCGGGGCGGATCACTTCCTGGGCCTGCTTCACCACCGTAACACGATATTGTCCACTTTGGGCCCCGACTACGCCCTCACGGTTTTGTTTCTGGGAACTCACACAAGAACTTCCCGATAGGTCACCCATCTTGGGAGTGCTCTCGCGCGCTACTCGCTTAACTTCGGAGTTCCCATGGAACCTGAAGCCAGTGAGTTCCCAAAATGCCTCGTGCTAGGTAGGGATGGGAATATACATATAAGGATCACTCCCCTGGGCGATGTGGGATGTCACAATAAATCCTACCTTGACTACACCATTATTTTGAAGTCTTCTAAAATCCTTTGTTTTTTTTTTTTTTAAATCCTAATTGACTACTTCTGAAGTACTTTTAAATCCTTTAAAATCTTAATTTGATTACACCTACTTTAATTCATGCCAATTCAAAACAATCCACGAAACAAACAAGACATTGGAGTTTCGTACTTGGCATGAATTACAAATATCCACAAACAACTTGCCTAACCAAGATTGCAACATTTTTCTTTTGTTGAGAAATGCTAATGAAACTTTCTCAAAGTTGAGCTTTCTGTCACTTTACAGTTTAACGTTAATTCATGTGTCAACATTATAAAATATTATGCACATAAAATGACAAAGAATCTACGAAAAGTTTTACTATTTTTCTTTTTCTTTTATTTGATATCTAACTTTAAGATGGAACCATTCAATACGAATTGGGGAATCTCAAACGTGGGGCCACATTTTCTCATTACCAATCCTATTGCCGAATTTATTGACAAAAAAAATGTGTTTTAACAAAAAGCTGGTGATACTATTCATTTTAACGAAAAATTTTAACGAAAAATTTTAACGAAAAATCATATTTTTATACTAAAAAATTAATTCTGGTACTATTCATTTTACCTTTTATGTTCTTATCATGAAAACTCAAAATTTTCAAACCCTTTTAATTAATTTTCCTAAAAAAATAAACTTCCGAGATCCGATTTACTTTCCACAAAAAAATATATAATATTTCTTATCACCCTTTGATATCTAAAGTCAGAAATATCAATCTCTCTATCGGTGGAACGAAATCGAAAACATGCAGATTTTTGTGAAAACCCTAACCGGGAAGACCATCACACTCGAGGTTGAGAGCAGCGACACCATCGACAATGTAAAAGCCAAGATCCAGGTACTCTATCTCACTCTCTCTAATTTCAGTTTTCATCTTGTATATTTATTTGCCCTATTAAGGAACGTCCATAATTTTAGCGTTTGGATTTCTGGTCAATTGGGGTTTTTGTTTGTTAAGATTTTGTAATTTGCTTGGATTAGTATTTTGTATCAGTGTTTGTGATTGTATTAGTATGCATATGTGCTTCTAGGTTTAGGATTTTGTTTTGTGAAAAGAGGAGTATTTAGGAGCTATACTCTGTTGGAAAATTTTATAGCTAGGGTTAGGGTTTCTGATTTCAGCTACTGATGCACTGGGTTTTTTTGGGGTTAAAAATTATTGCTCTTGCCTCAGTTTTTCCAGCTTTATCCTTATTAGAAGGGAAATTTACAATCGAAATTTTCGCCATGCCGGCCCTTTTGGGAAATTACTGTGTAAACTAATTTCTGTGGCAGACTGGCAATCAATTCCATCCAATGGATTGAGGAGTTCTTATTTATTTGTGCTTGGTCTTCACCACCCCCCCCCCCCCCCAAACCCAAGTTCTACTCATTGATTGGTGTATTGGGTTGGTACAACGGAATTTCAGTTTTCCAGGCTTCTTTTTGTTGCTTTACTTTTAATTTTGTCTCATAAAATGTTTCAATCCCAATTGTATGATTAAGCCGTTTATGAGATTGTTTATGTAGGGTTAGTGAAAAAAGAATATTATGACTGGAGCAGGGCAGTGAAATTTAATTTACCGATGCTACAAAGAAAATATTATTATCTAGCAAAGAACCTTTTCCTTTTCATCATGACAAGTTTTAGATTATTAATTATTTGTTTTCACAGAATTGTGGAAAAATGCCTTAGTCACATAGACAGATCAGTGGCAATTTTGAAGGCAATTCACATTTTAGAGTCATGATGTTTCTGTCCTTAATACGTTTTGTTTGTGCGCATTAAGGTAGTTACATTTTTTGCTATGGGATTGCATGGTAACTCAGATGTGTTTATTTTCAGGATAAGGAAGGCATCCCTCCTGATCAACAGAGATTGATTTTTGCTGGTAAGCAATTGGAAGATGGTCGAACTCTTGCAGATTATAACATCCAGAAGGAGTCAACGCTTCACCTGGTTTTGAGGCTGAGAGGAGGAACTATGATTAAGGTGAAGACTCTTACGGGGAAAGAAATTGAGATTGATATTGAACCAACTGATACCATTGACCGGATCAAGGAAAGGGTTGAGGAGAAAGAGGGAATTCCTCCAGTGCAACAAAGGTATATTTTCTTCTTGTTATAATATTCAATCCAACTAAAATAATACGTTATTGTAACTCAAGTTACTTCTGATTGATTATGTATATCTGCATCAATATTATCAAATGCTAATCGTTTGAATTCTTTTTTTCTCATGCATAGTTTATCATAAATATGATTTAACATATTGATTTTCTTCCCGTGTATGAATAAAAAAAAATGATGTACTGAAATTATTACTTTTACCTTGTCCTATCTATTCGGTCTTGCTCTCAAATTGGGCAGCAAATAATGTCCGTTCTAGCCTCCTTTTTGTCCTGTAACAATGTTGGAAGTTGTGCTGGTTCACTTTTCACTTTAAAATGCTCTCGTTCATGATTTCAGTGTTCCATAGCACTTAAAGTTGATCATCTTGTGGGTTTGTCATGTTATGATTGACTTTCGTTTCTATTCCTATTTGGGATGTTTTGGCTGCTTCTGCATTTTATTTGAGCTGGTTGTTTGTTGGTAGGATTCGACTAGTGTTTTGACAATAGATGGTACCCAATAATTATTATTCTGTATATATACATCTGAAAACTTCAAAATAAAATTTGGATTTGAATTGGATTGCTTTCTAGTTTTGAAGTCTTGTATAGCTCTTAGCTAATGGGAATAATCTTATTAAGCAGCATCTGCCGCATTATTTTAGATGTGTTCATTGCACTCCAGTTAACATATTGTTTCAGCACAGGTTGAGTGGTATGCTTACTAAACAATTCAGGAAATGTTTTTCATTTTAATGCGTTTTTGGATATTTGGTCATTTTTTAAGTTCTTTAGTTTCTTTCACATGTAGTACTGGCCAATTTTTTTTTGTTTTTTTTTTTTTTGTAGGCTTATCTATGCTGGCAAGCAGCTCGGGGACGACAAGACAGCTAAAGACTACAACATTGAAGGGGGCTCTGTTCTTCATCTGGTGCTTGCACTACGAGGTGGTAGCCTATAAATATTAGTTTTCGGTTTGGGAAAACTCTTTTGTTCAGGCTTTATTGAGTCTTGATGCCTTATGAAATGAGTTGCATGTTATTTGTTGATAAATGCAAATACATGGCAGAAAGCCTGTTTTAAGTTGTTTACTCTGGACATAAGTATTTATGTTACATATATTTCTCTCTCTCTCTCTCTCTCTCTCTCTCTCTCTCTGAATTTGACATTCTTAGTTTAGGGTTTAGCACTTTAGATTTTATTCACATAATTTTTTTGGAAAATTTGGAATGTGATGATTCTATTTTCTTTTTCAAGTCTTATAGGCTTCTATGTTCCCTCTCCCAAAGAGATATCGAAAGAAGCTTCAATTTATGGGCGTATGCAGACCCTTAACCTTGTTCTTTTACTAGTAACATGGTTGTCTTGGTTCCGTGACATCAATTGATTTAAACCTGGCTTTTCATGAATTTTGAACTCGTCCGCTAAATTTTAGAGCGCTCAATAATTCTCCCTTGAGTACAATAAGATCCCCTAATAGCGAGTAGTCCTTTCTTTTTTGGGGGGAACTAATAATAGAGAGCTTTGTGTGTTCAACCTCGATCACACACTCAAGAATAGGAGGCAATAATAAAGCGCTTTGTGTGTTCAAATAGAATTATTGAGGTAAACCTTTGAAAGTTAAACCTCAAGCAACTCTTTTAGGACATCAGAGGCTAAAAATTTGCAGAATTGTAGGAATTATGAAGGATTATAAGAAGCAAGTTAGTATTAAAAGCATGTAGATTTAGTAGGGGGTTCTGTAAGCCTGCATTTGCATATCAATCAGTGTAAGTAGAAGCACTTTTAGGCAAAGCACTCTTAGGCGTTGGGAAGGATCTCTTTCTGAAGAGCTGTTCAGTCCAAACCCTACAAAAAAAAAAAAAAGGGTTCTAAAAAGAATGCGTAACAATTCCTAATCCTTGCAGATGCTCTTTTCATCTAAAATGTACTTCAGCCTATGGTGTTGTGTCGCTTGCTCCTCGACGGGCGTGCAAGGGGACTTTTTGAGGAGGTTCCCTCTCTACTCAAAGGAGACGGAATCAATAGCCCGGGACTTCTTGCTGTTGTTCTTGGAGAAAATTTGGCTTGCTCTAGAACCCGGGACTGAAGCTCCAAAGGATAGTCCCTCATGCAACCAATTCGCGGTCCAGCTCCCGTTGTCCATCGGCTTGTTAAATGCTGAGCCAACTGGTATGACTTCATTCCCTTGTGTGAATCAATCCTCTGCATGATCTTCTCCTTTGGCACTGGCTTTTCATCTTCTTCAAATAGGTCTTCTTCGAACAAGTTCAGTTTAGGGACCATGAAGTCTTCTTCTGTTAAGATTGATTCTTCAGCTGTTTCATAACCATCATCATCAGAGGCAGAATCTATGAAATATTCGCGACAGGTGATTGGTATTCCATCCTTCAAAATGTCAAACGCATCGTTCCTTTGTGGTATTTCGAGTTTGCCTATCTTTGAGCAGAATCTTTCAGGTAATCTAGACAGAATAGGGTTGGGATTTTCTGCAGAATTAGACTCCTCATTTCTTGATTCATTGCTATCTTGCCATGTGCCTTTGGTTTTTGTTGTTACGGTTTCTTTTGGTTTTCGTGGGCTAATTCGGATGTTGCTGATCTTTTTGGTGAAGCCTCCATCTTCTTCGTCAGCTGGAGTTTGCTGTAAATTGAAAGAGAATGCTTATTTATTCTTTAGTGAATATCATATAGTGCTACATAAAAAATCATCTTCCGAAATTGTAGAAGGTAATTTCTCGAACTAAAACAATCAAAGTTTGCTCGGTGTATATACCTGAACATTTGTGAGATCTACGTCGTGTTCCACAAGGAACATCATAAATTCCTGAAAGTTTTCTTCTGTGGGGAGATAATGCCCGCTGTGAGGCCAAACTGACTGTTGATATAAACCAAAAAATGAAAAGGAAGCGATTAAGTATTGTGTTAAACATCGTCATAGCAGTACATAAAGGATCGATCTTCTATATACCTTAAGAATTCCTTGTTCCACTACTAATCTTCCAGCAGAAAGTGTTGCTCCGCCTGCCAAGAAGCTCGAATGTTGAAACGTCCCCTTGCTCTTCTGTCCAACATACAATGTCTTGGTTGTGCTCAGCACAAATATCCACTTTGTGCCCTTAGGTTCTGATGTGTCAAGAAAGTTTCCACTCTGCTTGTACACGAACTTCCCATCCTGCACTAGAATTTCGTAAGTCTCTCGTTCGATCTGCGAAATGAAGCAACCGTTGTCAGTAATTTCGTTCTCTATGAAAGTATAGGGTTAGATTGAAACTTTGGTGAACACCGAGAAGATGAACGAAAAATCATGATGAAAGTTGAGGCTCACCGGGCCAAGATACTTGATGCATTGTGTTTGAAGCTTCGACCTAGGGCATGCTTCATGGCTGACTTCTCTTCCGTCTCCTATATCGAGCCTGCATTAAGAAATAAACTTTCGTAATCGCGAAATAGGTGCTATACAATGTTCTTGGCTGTAATCATTGTATGATGCCCCAAATTTACTTACCAATAGAAGAAGGGTTCTTTACTTTCGCAATGGAGCCATCTGGCGTAGTAAAAGTGAAGATTGTGGCCATAGCGATGTCGAGGATCAATCTGTTAGGAGGAAGGAATACGAGTGAGAATTCAATATGTAAAGAAAACTTAGTACATTGACTCCAAGTATGGAACTTACAGCCTCAAGCCAATGCTGCAAAGCAAGTTTACGTGCTTTTTTATCCTTCGACAAACCTTTTCCCACCTTCAAAAGAGTTGCAGCAGAAATTAGAACCACAACTTAGCAGTACACAATGCATGGTCACACAGCTTTAAAACAGACTTACCTTTGCAGCTTTAGTTCTTGCCCGAGACCAGCGAGAAACAGCTGTCTCAGGTTTCTGAATGTCGAAAAATGATATAGAGCTCCGCTTTAGTTCAGCAAAATCGAGCACCTTCCACCTACAAAGTGAGCCACCAAAATATAAATCTAACAGCACATGAAGTAGGCATAAAAAAATGGATGGCACGGTTCTTCAAATTGCAAGCACACACGAATCAATGCATACCATCTCTGCTCCACAAGAATTGCACAATCCGCAAGCTGTCTTCTCGTGCGAAAACTCTTATAAACTTTCTGCAGCCTCAATGCAGCCTGGTCTCTGGGCTCCTTGAACGAGTTCTCGGATGTCTGCTGTTTCTCTCCAATACCGCTTTCTGCTCTAGCAGACACATTGTTTTCCACATCCCTGGAAGGTGAGTTTGCTGAAACGGCATCTAATTCCATCTCTTTAAAGCTAATTGGTTCTTCAAAGTTCATATTTCCTGAACCAGGTGACTTCATTGTTGCGGTTGGTTCCGAATCACAGCAGGTGTTGGAGCTCAATGACTGCAATGGCTTCCTCTCTTCTTCTTTCCTAAGACTAACTGGACTTACAAGAACAGCTCCACAATGACTATCCAAATCATCAAAATCTGCAAGTGGGCAGGGTACTGGAAACCCCATTGACCACCAAGGAATTTAAATAAATAAATTATACCACAAATAACCAAGATCTGTAACAACAAGATCTATGGGGTCTCTATAACTGCAAAAAATGAACAAAATGTACAAAATTAGTTATGAAAATGTTCACAGTATTCACGAAAGACATCATAATTAGGAATATTATGGCTCGTTTTGTTTCCAGAATTAGATTGGATAACTCAAAGAATTCGAGATATTGTGAAGGCAGAGGCGAATGATTTTCATTTTGACGAAATTAGAAGGGACTAGAAATAAATGAAACTTATCACTTCTGATAATGCTATTTGTGGCGATTAGAAAACATAAGTGTCCTTTATTTCTTGTTCCGTCCTTCAACATACCTTGAATATAGTGAGTTATACATGTGAATGAACACCAAATGAGCCCTTATTGTTCGAACATTTGGGAATGGAGTTCTACCATTCTATACATACATGGATGGAGACATCCATGTCCTCCCCATTCCTGCTTTTCTACAAGAAATCTAAACATTGTTCCTCAATAGTCGTTTTTGCAACCTCCATGCAAATAGCAAAAAGGAGGCTTTAAATCCAACAAAAACAACCAATTCCTCAAATGCCTTAAATGCAAGTACTAAACTATGTCACTCCCATCGCAATTTTCAAAAAACAAATTAAGAATTACTCAAGAGAGCATTTTGATACATTCAGAAAAACAAAAGGCTGATAATTGGAGGCAAATTAAACACAAAAATAGGGAAAAAAAACAACTAAAAAACATTAAATGAAGGGTACACAATAAGTGTTTACCTTAATCAGAGACAGAATCAAAAGGAGAGATAGCACTGGTTTAAGACAAAGATTGAGGTGGGATAAACAAAGAAGGGTAGAGAGAGAAAGGTGGGGAGAGAGAGAGAGAAGAAATGGGCATGCAAATGGGGGGATTGGCAGGTAATGATGAAAGAGAGAGCGGGCAATGTGGGAAGTTGAAAGTTGATAGGGTTTCTATTTTATTAAGCTAATTCAGAGCTTAATTTACCTAGTTTTTCTTCTCTGTTTCTGGCTTAACACAGCACCTCTACGTTGGCTACATACTATTCTTGCAATGCAACCTTTATATATAGAAAGCTTGGAGTTAGAGAGAGAGAGGGGGGGAGTCATTAACAATTGAAGTATGTTGTCCACACACGTGGTATTGGCCACATGAGAAAGCTCACCTACTTATGATATATTTAAGGCAAATAACATATTCACAATTGGATTTGATCAAGAAAATGAATGGTTTCAATTATTAAATTTGTACGGTGAAAATGCATTAATCACAAGGGGTTGACAAGGTGGTGCACCACATAGGATGGATGCAAGTATTGTCCCATGTTTAAGCACGCTTTGACGTAACTAGATTGACTAGAACACATATGTTTTTTCTATGCATTCAAATTCAAATCTATTTTCAGTAATTTAATTAGATTAGTTTCAAGATTTCATAGGGACGACTGGTGTACCACTGCTAACCACATCCCCTTCTGCTTCTTTGGTAAACACGAAAAGGTGCACACGCCACAAAGTTTTAGAGGATAATTAAGTAACTTTCCTGTTTAGGGTTTGAAACCTTTTGTTATTAATAACTAAAACTAAATTCTGTTATGACATGAGTTATCATTTACCAAAAGCTAACTAATCTCAGTTTAGCAATGCAATTAGTTGTGGATGTTAAAAATTTCCACATTTCTTTTATTTGATTTTGCATGTGTGGATTTTGATTGTATTGTCAATATTAAGGGAATTTTAGTCGTAAGCTGACGGAAGATTAGAATTAGAGATTAACAAAATAAAAAAATAAAAAAAGAGAATTTTAGTCTATACTTGCGGAAGATTAGAATTAGAGATTGATAAAAAAAATAAAATAAAGATTATAAAGTCGTGTAATTTTTCAATACAATGGTCTTGCGGTTGAAGCTAAAATAAATCACATGTAAAAAAAAATATCATTATATCATAGTAATTTAGTAATAATGAATATCTCTAAATTTGGCTAAGTATTTGGGGTCACTTTTTGTTGGAGGGAAGCTTCTCTGGCGGTACTTCTTATTCGACAAAAGTCTTTGCTGGATTTTGAGCCGGAATATGAGATGTTTGACTCAACAAATATATTATCCTTCTCGATATGCAAAGCTGCTCCCAGTCTCTAAAATGATCTGTCGAGTTGACCAGCACATTCTTTTGGAATTTAATTTATTTTTGTACAGAGCGGATCAAAATTTCCATAACAAACCATTGTAATCATTTAACGCATTCATGTAAGTCAAACATTCATGGATAATTTTAGTTTACTTTCTCCGCTGCACGCTAATTAACCACTCTAATATTCTTTTGGTCACTTTAACCAAATCTAATCAAGCTGCAAACACGATCCATTTATGATTCATGCAATTCCTTTTGAATTGTATATGGATACTTTTACACCTAATACATATTAACTTTTCGAATTAATTAGTTTGACACATTAGCCGTCGAAACCTTTGTCCCATCTTTTTCTTTACTCACAAAATTCGAGTGGGTGAGATGGATTATTGACGTGGTCCAATTCTGAATTCTAAAGTGTATTTGTCACATCCCGGTCCGGACGAACCACTTTCCAGGCCCACTTCACCACCGTAGCACGATATTGTCCGTTTTAGGCTTACCATTTCCTCATGGTTTTGTTTTTAGGAACTCACGAGCAACTTTCCAGTGGGTCACCCATCATGGGATTGCTCTAGCCCCCTTCTCGCTTAACTTCGAAGTTCCTACGGAACCCGAAGCCAGTGAGCTCCCAAAATGCCTCGTGCTAGGTAGGGATGGGAATATACATTTAAGGATCACTCCCCTGGGCGATGTGGGATGTCACAATCCACCCTCCTTAGGGGCCCGACGTCCTCGTCGGCACACACACGACTAGGGTTAGGCTTTAATACCAATTGTCACATCCCGGCCCGGGGCGAACCACTTCCCAGGCCCGCTCCACCACCGTAGCACGATATTGTCCGTTTTGGGCTTACCATTCCCTCACACTTTTGTTTTTGGGAACTCACGAGCAACTTCTCAGTGGATCACCCATCATGGGATTGCTCTAACCCCCTTCTCACTTAACTTCGGAGTTCCTACGGAACCCGAAGCCAGTGAGCTCCCAAAAGGCCTAGTGCTAGGTAGGGATGGGAATATACATTTAACGATCACTCCCCTGGGCGATGTGGGATGTCACAGTATTACTGTTTTTTTTATATAGTAGTGAATTGCTCTGATAATTATGGTATTTATGTACAAGCTACTACGTTTTAGATTTAAATCTAACTTGAAATAAAATAAAAAGAAAATTCCCTTTCATTAATTAATTATCTACGTAAGTCATGCATGCACATATGCATGGAAACTTCTTTGGTAATATAATATAATAAGCAACAAAAAGCACTCTGCTCTCAAAAAGCGTAGTGATAGTGTGTAAGTGGTTAATCGGACACAAGAAGCTCTATGGGAAGTCCTTTGCTTAATAATTATATGTAGAACAATATGTTGAGAAATCCAACATGTCAAATATAATGTTGGATTTTATACCATGCAATTTTATTTATTTATTTGTTTTACGGTAAAAGGGAATTCATTTCATAACAAACCAAAACATAGAAATTATAGCAGGTGAAGAAGGCTTCTAAAAGGACCTCAACCGAGTAAACCCAGTGGGACAAACCCCGACCAAGGAACAAGAAGCCAACCTGCCAATTACATCATACCCCAATCCCAGACTCATCCTCAATACATTGCATTAACCACGGAGGACCCGTGTTTACCCATAATGATAAACTCCGACATTGTTTGGTGCAACAAGTGCCTCAGGATGCAAATTAAAACGAGCTAATCGATGAGCAGCGTTGTTTGCATCGCGAGGCACATGATGCACCACCACCTGATTAGCCAGTAGCAAAGGCCGAATTCTCTCAACATAAACCCCCTCCGCAGCCAAGCCGACATCATCTTGAGTGAGTAGATGGATTTGCTCATGTAACTAAGTTTAAGTGAATGAGTATAAAATTTAGTCCAAGTGGCGGAGATTGATTTGCTCGTGTAACTAAGTTTTAATTCCAATAGTGTTATTATTCAATAAATATTTGATACGTGTTCAAAAAGTGCACTACGTCATATGAAAAATGGTGACTACATAGTGAAACAGCGACATGAAAGAATCTATTCAAATGGTGAATGCATATAACGAGATAAGTTAGAATTAAGCAGGTCAAAGATTCAATTCCCTTCTATCGTAACCTAAAAAATATTGTCAATCACGCGGATACCACACATTCATACATGATCTACATTAGCAAAATACTTCCGATCCGAGTACCAAATACTTTAAGATGCACCTAAATGTAGGTCATTTGATTCAAGATTTGGCTGTGGAGTGGTCGATCCAACGTGTGAAACATTGTTACATTTCTCACAGAGTGTAAATAAAAAGTACGAGACTGCAGAAGAACACGTTAAACTGTAAAGCATTTAATTTTCCGGCAAAAGTTTAGTTTAAGCAATAAATTGTGCCATTGTTTTTTGGCTCATTTCATAAATGTAAATGGGTCACCGCCACTGTTTGACAGTGTGGTTGTGACCACCCTTCACTTGAATATTATTCTCTATTTCTTTTCTCCGTACAATTGATTTTATTTTTTCACTAATACAATAATATATTTACATTTAATTAGTGTTAAGCCGCACAATGGAGTGCGAGTTCAAGTCCAGTAAGAATGAAGGTCTACATGAGATAGGAGTGATGATTGGAGATCAAGAGGTACTAAAAAGGGAGCACTTTTGTTATTTTGGATCTATCTTGCAAAATAACGGATGATTGAATGGAAATCTCAACCATAGAATACAAGCTGGATGGATGAAATGGAAGAATGCATCGGATATGTAGTGCGGCCGACGTATGCCACTAATGTTTAAATGAAAATTTTATACACCGGTGATGGACAAACCATGCAATGGCTTAAAAGTAAGTCGTGCTATATTCCATATTGTCAATTGATTTTATGATGAAACCTCAACTTTTTTCACATGTGAGCAGATTTAAAAATACTCGGATTAGAAAATTCAACTAAGAAGTTATCATCTCTAAATATTTAATTTAGTGAGTGTGAAATCACGTCGCGTTTACATATTTTGCACCATGAGTAGGATTTGTTTGGATTAAGATTAGATTCGATTGTACGACCAACAGCTATAGCTGCGGGCTTTGTAGCTTTCTGCGAAAGTGCTTTCCATATTCTGACTGAATCCAATGACTACCGAAGAATATCCAACATGTATTTTTGTTTGGATCAAGTTGTCCACCGCGTTTTGTATTTGTAAAGCACCGACAATATACACTCTTCGCAAACAACTCACACATTCCCTAACCCATATGTATAGTATTTGATAAACAAATCAAGAAAATTTCTTCATCACTACTTAGCATTGATTGACACGGAGATAAATAACTAAAATTAAAAAAAGAAAATCTAAACAGTTGTGTAATCAAATTTAACAGTTAAAATACCCGTAACATTAAATAATATATAACATTGAAGCCACACTCACAAATTATATAGTCTTGGAAAATTTCAAGAGAAAACTTGTAAAATGTTATTCAATGGTATTCTCTTCTCGTCATTTGATTGTCTGTAAAATTTTACACTAAAGAGTCAAATTTGGACTAAGCCACATAAAATGCCAACCATAATAAATTAGATATCGAACTCACAGTTCACATGATTCGAACTTAAAATCTTACGTTTACAATTTGATACAAGAAAAATTTATCGCAGACGGATTTATATAACATAGACTAGTTTCTTGTGCCAATATTTACAATTTGACAAGAATACAATTCAGAAAATACTGACCCGAGTTGCTAGATGAAGGGGAAAAGAAGATACTCGGCATAGAAGAGATTCCATATAAATCTGTAGTAGCTGGCAATTGCTTCCTGCAGAATATGCATTCGAACATATAATCAGATGACGAATTAAACACTCTCTGTCAAGTTCTTGGAATATGAAAGCATCATTACAAACTAGTCATGCTGAATTGGCGTACTCCAATTTGTAGCAGTTGATCATTAGACCAGTAAAATGTGCTACGCATGCAACACACGGTTTAGTATTTACCTTGGTGTAATTTGCTTGCTCGAGCACCCAAGTCTGAAAGAACATAAGAATATAGTATGTAAGAGTTTAACATTAACCATAATTTCATTAAATGTTTGTTTATCTACGAAAGGCGCACAAGCTTCCATAAATGCCTAAGATACAGCGGTAATCAGAGATGAACCCTAAGATACGAACCTGGAAAACTAAACTCAGTGCCAAGATTGCATGCATGGGTATCATTAAGCTACGTCTGAATGCCTGCAGCACAAGCAATTCCAGGACTTGAAAATTTTTGGGTTGAAGGAAAAATACAGGAATTTCACAAACATAATTAGTCAAAGATAATAACTTTCTGTCCAAGCGCAAGGACTGAGCAACCATCTAAAGGTAAACTTCAAAGGGATGCATACTCACCTCCGGCATTAAACTTGCTGCGAATATGGAACCAACATAATTTAGTAGCAGAAGCCCAGAACCAAGAAACGCAATGTTTCTAACTCCGAGTTTTGTTGCAAATGTTGATATTTCAAACCTGCAATCATACTAATTCAAATGAATATTTGATGGCATCTATAATACAACGTTTCAAACAGAAAATAGTGGCGTATTCAAATCTACAATTTTACGCAAGAAAATTATTAATTGTGAATTCACGAATTCAGTGACTAACATCAAGTATGCTAATGCCTTTCTGCAAAATGGCACCTATCCAAGATTTACTGTGTGGTTTGTGTGTAAAATTAATCAGACAGAGAAAAAAAACAAAAGGAAAAAGGAGTAACATTAAAACTAATGGCAAAAATTTTAAACTGTTTTTAACCATTGAAAAGTAAATTATATGGGTAAAAAAATGTATGCAGAGAAAGAATCAAATGAGATATCAGCAGCCAAGAAGTAATTAGCCCTACAACTCACTTGCGGTCCCCCTCTACATCCGGAAGGTCTTTTGTTATCGCAATAACCAAAGCAAACAATGTTACAAAGGTGGTGATAAAAGCAACGGCCGAGCTGCAGATAGAATGTGAATTTCAGCATTAGTATGTACACAGCTAAAATAATAGAAGCATATAGCACGATTCACAAGAAAATGCAAGATTATAAGTAAATATCTTCAGTTGTTAGAGAAAGCTCGCTTGGTCGTTACTTTCCAATCCTGTATTAGTCCAATCTAATTTTGGAATCATACCTGTACTAATGAGTCCAGATTTTCTGATTAAAGCCTTCTTGGTCGTTACTTAGATAATAGTGAAATATGGTTAGATAATAAAATTATTTCTTTTCCATTATAAGTTTTAGGGCGGAGTATTCAACAATTGTGTTTATGAATTCATTTGGATGGTCTTCCAAAAGCTACCAATGTCATTTTTGACAAGACTAAAGGAACACCCGTGTTTTTTCTAAAGAAGGATACGATATGTTATGACAAAAAAGACAATAAAATACGCAAAGTGAACAAGCAGTCCACAAAAATCAAAAGCAGACAGCGATACGAATAGAGAAATCAAAACTAAGAAAACTCAAAGAGATAACTAATAGCAGCTGTCCAATCAAGCCAAATATAAGAAAAGGACAAATATCTAAAATCTGACGATACAGATGCCCATAGAGAAGACCAGGAACACCCATGTTTTTACACCATACACGATGCTATGGTTTTATCTATCACATGACAAAACAGAATAGGGCAAGTAACACACCTCCACTCAAATTGAAGCCCAAGGGCAGCTCTAGTGGCATAATATACACCAAAATTTAGAAGGAAGCCCCTTACCTGCAATAGTTATTTTGTTAATCTCTTGTGACATCCTACCGCTGGTGAAACATATGAAAAAATAATGTTTTACGCATATTTATACAAAAGATCATGGTAGCTATTTCCACAAAGCCATAATAGCAATCACAAACATCCTAATCCTTTTAAAACTCTTTACTTTTCAGTCTCCTTTCTAGTAAGTTGTCCAATTCAGACACATCAATTTTCAGACAATCATATTAGATCAAGCTATACTAATTCAGTAAGAGAGAGTGTTAGACTATAGTAAGCATAGATGCTTCAGCCAAATAATAATGTCTAACTACTGTTTTAAGCCAAACAGTTTTGTTTCACGTGGCTTCTAAAATAAATGACTTCCTTTTCTGTCACTCGTCATGGGCCTGCTACCCTCCCCTCTTTTTCCACAACTTAGTTGAAAACGGTCAATTTAAATTCACCCCATTTCTACGATGTGCTTTCATGAGTATGAGTTGTAAATTCCTACTTAGTTCCTCTATTGCTTTCAGATGCCCTTTTCTTGTGATAAGCATAAATTTGTTTACTGTTATCTGTTTAATAGTACCCAGAAATTAAATATAAAAACTTATTATTAGCTTTATCCTTTATTTGGAGATTTTGAAGATAGCCCATGAATTTCAAATTCCATGAAATACCATATCAAACGATTGAATTCTGAGTAGCTACTAACTTTAGAATGGAGCCAAAAACATAAAAAAAAGAGTACATCATTCTATGGTTAGAAATAGAGAAGGGGAGAAAATTAGCAATACCGTGGCAATTATAAGAAAAGCTGCAACAGGAAATCTCTTCATTCTAAGCGGAGGAACAGAATAAATGGTGCCAAGGAAAAGACCAAGACAGTAGAGAGAAGTAATGAATGGCCCGAAGTTCAGTCCAACAATCAACAAGCCAGTCACCGCAAAAAATACCACCAAGAGCCATGCTGATTTAACTGAAAGATCCCCTGCAGCGATAGGTAAATAAGGTTTGTTTACCCTGAAACACAAAGTAAAAGGGGAGAATAAGTTTAACATGAAAAAACTTTGATGGTCAATATGTCACACAACAGGAAAACAACAGAACAGATGACAGTTTAGCAAAAGGTCAAGATCACCTGGGTCTATATTTTCAAAGAGTAAACAACACATTTTTAACAAGTGTCTCTAAGTCCAATGATTGATATGCATCAACTATGAATCTATGATGATTCAAGGCATCAATAACATTCTGATAAGGGCCAACTTGTGCAGGATCTTAAACAAAAAATAATAATAATAATGAGCATAATGCTTTTGTGGCTGTTCAGAACTAATATTTTGAATTTAAGGCTGCATAAATGTGTGCGGCGTGTATAATATTTACCTATCTCTAAGACTGTAAATTAACAGGAAGATGTGTATAAATGTGTGCGGCGTACTTGTCAATTTTGATATCGTAAATCTGATTGATGCCAACTATATAACCATTCCCACATAGTAGCGCAAAAAGACCAGAGAATGCCTTAAACAGCAGAGACCACTTTATCAAATTGGAGTTCTCAATCAAAGCTCTTGTCACCAAAGCACTGCGGACAAAACAAAAAAGAAACTTGGTCAACTACAGCAGTACTGAGTTGGAATTTAAACTAGTTTACTAGCCAGTGTTCTCCATGGTAATTGACTTACGTAGACCCAAGAACTGTCCCACGTATGGTATGGGGCCTGAGGAATCGCCAACAAGCATCTTTAAAATCTGAGACTGTGGTCAATACTGGATCAGATTCAGCAGCTCCAACTTGACTGCAGGCCTGGACAGCATTCACTTTCACTTTAATGCCATAAGAAAACGCTGGAGCCTCATAAAATGATAGACTACATGTACAAAATTTGGAAGCAACCGTGCACGTGGAACTAAGCCACATCTGAGTTCAGCATTACTCGAGAATAACAAACAAGTCAAAACTTCCAGTTCTACTAACACTCACAGACACATGGATTAAAATTTCAAATCCCTCTATCACTCTCACAAATTGGAACAAAACTAAACGAATCCAACTAAAAAATGAAAGAAAAGATGAAATCTTTCTCGTCAAAATTTGACATTGGCATTGTTTAACAGCCATTGCTAACAGAGTCAGAAACAATCCCATTGGAGCAGTCAAAACTTAAGGGTGAAGAAATACGGCATACCCAGATGGAATTTCGCTTCTTCCGGCAGCTGAGCAAAGATTTGGAGCAGCTTCTGGACAGCCCAAGTGAGTACAAGTTTGTCCTGCAGCTTGAGAGAAAAGCAGCTGGTTTTGCAGTGGTGGGATTAGCAGAAATTGGAGGAATATAGGAGGAGGTGCTGCAGTGAGGGCTTATAGATGGGAACCGCAGAGAAGAGGAGGGAGCGAATGAGAGATCCATGTCTGGAGGGGCAGAGAGAGAGAGAGAGAGGATAGGACTGGGAAACTAAGACACACGAAAAACAGAGGATGAACGACATGTCGTTTAAGAAACAAGCAATATGTAAAAAATGAATAATGGAGATGCGGGGTATCGAACCCCGTACCTCTCGCATGCAAAGCGAGCGCTCTACCATGTGAGCTACATCCCCAGCCTATTATTTGCTTTCAATAATTTCATATTTTAATTTAGCGAGATCCTGAGCATTCTTTGCAAAGCTGGACAGAGCTTTGAATTGTGTGAAAATATAAAAATACATTTTCCGCTGCCGGGATTCGAAACCGGAATATCAACATTGATTTTCCATTGCTACAGCGGATTCTTGTGTGAACTAGAGGATTTTAATTGTATATATGCCTTATTCAGAGCATCTCCAATGAGCTTCCTCAAAGTTGTCCTCGTCACCGTATAGACCCGATAAATGAGGAACAAGGCTTTCCAATCCACTAAAAATTGAGTTCCTAAAGTATAGTGACTCACCAGATACATAAGACAGGTCTCTGCATATAAGGACAATATAGAGACGAAAGTGGTGGCACCAACTGGGAAACTTGGTCCACCCACGTGACTGCTTTGTGCAATTATTACTTTTCAATCAACAGCTGCGTCTCGCAGCACACATGCTGTTTTGAGTAAGAAACTTGGTCCACCCACGCGATTGCTTTGTGCAGTTATTATTTTTCGATCAACAGCTGCGTCTTGCAGTACACATGCTGTTTTTATTAATTGTTGGAAAAACAAAGGTCCAGATTCATGCTAGGCAAGCTCATTTTTTTTACTGTTGGAAATCAATGGTTTCAATTAAAGATTCCTCAAATTTAGGGTTTGTGCTAGAGACTTTCCCATTGTAGGTAATATTCGTTTAGGGTGCATGTCGACAAATGCAATTTCTTCTTGTGATTCTTTCCCGTAGAGTTTCTTTTCCTTTCGTTTACATGTGTTTTCTTGTACTTCTGAAACCCAGGACGAATATTTCAGGCATTTTCTATGAAATATTGTCTTCTTGAGCTTGCTCGGAAGCCAGGTTTACGACGAAATTTACAATCAACGAGGGGCATCGGTTATTCATCTTCAATTTTTAACACGTTATGTAAAAAATCAAGCTGAGTTAACCACAAGACCTAAGAAAACTGGAAAAAAAAAAATCACCTTCTACCTCCGACACCGCCAACGCTGCCATCCTCCGAAAGGAAGATGGGGAGGTGGTAAGTGTACTTCCACCATGGCAGCCCTTCGAAAAGCATCAGGCGAGTCTCAAAGAAATGATGTCCTTGAGGAGTTTACCATTACAAGTGCAAAATTATTATCAAAATTTCAAAATGCATGTGTTAGTTCACCTTAAATGAAACACAATTTAAATAAAATTCAAATCAACCGCATCCAACGGTATAAAATTACACAACTCAAACTAAAGGATGACTGGTTTCATAACATAAATGACAAAGACATGTCTCACATTCGAGCTAAATCCGACAACTTCTACATAATGACGGAATAAACAAAACGCCCACAGAATTCTCCTTGCTAAATAACATTTGTATTGCAGCCTCTTAACGGTTGGCCTTGGCAACTCTTTCGATCTCATCCTTCTTCTTGATTGCATAACTGCACATAAAACACCACTAATCGTCAGCAAAGAAACAATGAATCAGCGGGAAGAACGTAACTAAAAAAACTCAGATAAAAGAGCTTTGGAGAAAATACGGTGCAATAGGCAAACAAACGAACTACCTGTTAGATGAACCCTTGGCAGCATTAATAAGTTCGTCAGCCAAACACTCAGCAATAGTTTTGACGTTCCTGAAAGCAGACTCACGAGCACCGGTGGTGAGGAGATAGATAGCCTGATTCACACGCCTCAAAGGTGAGATATCCACAGCCTGACGCCTAACAACTCCAGCAGATCCAATACGAGTTGCATCTTCACGTGGACCACTGATTGGCACAAAGAAGACATACAACATGAGGGTTAAAAAAAAAAAACCAAGTTACATACAACCATACAGAATTGCACGAAGAAGAATGTTTATATCCATCGTAATCCCAACAGGTATAAAGACCAAAATGTAATCAGGAAATCTATACTAAAGGGCACATGAGCATCCCCTCAAGCATCAAACATGTGACGAAGCTGAGGTCAATGCATATTATTGCTGTGAGAAAGATTTTAACATATATGTGAATGTACCTGTTAACGACAGCATCAACAATAACTTGGATTGGGTTCAGATCAGTTAGCAAATGGATAATTTCCATCGCGTGCCTAACAATCCTGACAGCCATGAGTTTCTTTCCATTGTTTCTGCCGTGCATCATGAGTGAGTTAGTAAGCCTCTCCACAATAGGGCACTGAGCTTTCCTGAATCGTTTGACTGAGTATCTCCCAGCAGTGTGAGGTACATAAGTTGCATGCTTGGAAGGTGCAACTCCAATGTAATCCGCCAGTGAAATGTCACTGACCTACATGTTAAAATTGTACATTATCATTTCACATACATATGGGAAACAGTCCATACATTAGAAGATGCAAGAAGCCAAATTTAACAAGTTTTTGTCAACAAAATCCTTTTCAACGTCTAAACAAAACGAAAAAAAAAAAACTGAGGTGTAAATGCCAATCAACCAATAGAAACACTTAATAGCTGACTTTACATAAATGCTGAATTTACCAGTATAAGTTTGAAATCACAGTAAAAACAGAATCAGCATAATCAGGACAACACAAAATACATGTCAACAAACGAGTGCAATAAACAATAATAATACTAACAATAAACTTTAGCCTACTTTGTAGACATACAGTAAATCTCACAAAAGACGGCCACAAGGAGGAAACACAAATTTCTAAACATAACAGAGCATATCTAATACGTATAATTGTATATTGAAGTTGGGGCACAAATCGGTCATGTTACTGCCAGCTACTCAACAAGGAAACGAACAAAAGTTGGCCTACAGTGAATCTAACACAACCACAAGGAGGTCACACAGAATTCTAAACATTTAAAAGAGCAAATCCAATACATATATTGAGTTTATGGCACAAATCCATCATGTCAACTACCCAACAAAGAAACGTACATAAAAGTTGCCTCTATCCAACCATCACATCAGTATACTCTCAAACAGAATCTGATAGCTCAAGCCTACACACATTTTTTTTTTGAGAAGAAACTATAACAGTTTATTAAAAAAGAAAAGTGTAATACACAGAAGTGGATAAGAAATCCACCAAGAACAGAACAAGAAAATCTCTCCAGAGGATCTGATTACAAGTAGGACAACCTCAACCAAAATCACTTTACCACTGCTAACATATCCCACAGTATGTGTGAAAGAGAGTAATTCTTAAAATCATTTGAAACTGAAGCCCAGAAGGCTGCCCAACATCTTACTCTTCCCCATTACAAGTAGGACAAGCCTACACACATTAAACCCTATCATATCCGTAAACCTACAATTCGAAGAAAACCTCATTTCATCGAAAACCATCACAGATACGAGAAAATTATAATTAACTAAGTCGAATAATAAAATCCAGAAACCTGGACATCATCAAAGCTCCACTTGTTGAACAGCTTCACGTCATAGTGAGCCAGCGTTGGTTCGGCTACAGGAAGTGCTACAGCATCAGCAGCCATGGTTCTGTATAAACACAATTGAAGCTACAAACATTAGAGCATATTTGGTAATAGCTTCCAGTAAAACAAAGCTGCAAATTATAATTCTGACAATCAAACTTCACAAAAATTATCAGTATTTGAAAGTGCCCCGCCTCAAATGCTCCCAATATTGAATAAATCAAAAAAAAATTATGAAACCCTAACCCATATGTTTCTACAAATCAAGTAATTAAAATGCCAACAAAAACAAAAAGGGGAAAAATGATATAAATTTGCAATTCACTAACTTAATCACCTGCGTACCAAAAATTGTGATCTAAAATTTCAAACCTAATTCTAACTAACGGAATAGCTTAATTATAATTGAATCCAGTTTCACAGTAAGTAGCAGATGTTATGCGAAAGTTACGTCGCCAACGACGGGAGGCGGCGGAGATGGGTGAGAGAGAAGAAGACTGACCAGGAGGCTCGATTTTCCGACGAGAGTGAGAGAGGTTGAGGAAGACAAGACGATGGCGCCGCGGAGGGGTTACTGAATCGCTGAAGGAAATGGCGCAGGGCGAGAGGACGAGTGTATTTTAATCGGCTAGGGTTTTGGGTTCGGGATTCGGGTTCCTGTTTCCGGATTCGGGTTTGGGGTTTCGAGTCCGGTTTAATTTACTGAAATTACTAAAATGCTCATGCATGTGAGTGATACATGCTCCTTGACTGAGGGCTGGTTTGGTATTGTAATGTTTTGAAAAAAAAAATATTTTTACTGTGATATGAGAATAAGCTCATTTTTACTGCTTCATGTTTTTAGCTTTTTTTTCCATCCAAAATTATGAAAATAAGCTGTTTTAAAGTATTTACCAAACACCTTTTTGAGCTTAACTTTTTTTTATACTTACTTTTTATAAAAGCACATCAGTACAAAACCAGTATTTAAGACTACTTCTGCTGTGCTTTGAGAATAAGCTCATTTTTGCTGCTTCACATTTTCAGCTTTTTTTTCATCCAAAACTATGAAAATAAGCTGTTTTTAAGTATTTACTAAACATTTTTTTAAACTTAGCTTTTTTTATGCTGAGAGATCATCTGTTTGAATTATATTTTGTAAATTATATGACGTGGGCGGATCTAGGATTTTAAACTCGGGGGGTCCCAATTATAAAGGGCAAAAAATTTATAGACAAAAATAACATTGAAAATTTAAATATAATACATTTCATTCAAACATCATATGCAAAACAATATTACAAATTATAAAATCATAATTCAAGCGTCCATTACGAGGTTTCATAAGTTACTAGGGAATACCTAAGTTATTGATTATCTAACATGAACCACTAGATTTAAAACACCAGTCAAATAAAACTCTCCCAAAACTCCC